TATGTATGTATGTATGTATGTATGTATATGTGTGTGTGTACATGTATACATGTATACATGTTCAATTCATATTTAATTTCTTGGATCTGTGTGCTGGTGCACATTCGGAGTGGTTATATATATATATGTGTGTGTATGTATGGATTTGTAGAAAAATATACATATTTACTAGCAAACATACACATACACAAGCATATAACTATGCATATACATACTTAAAACTCACATATATATATATATATAAGTGATTGTATGTATGGACGAATTTTTGTATATTTATGTACACTACTAACTACTACTATGTACATGCACACATACATGTTTGTGTATATACGTGAATATATGCGCATGTACGTATATATATGTATAAATGCATATATCTACACTTACACTTACACTTACACAAATACAACTATACTTTTACTTGTACATATATACAATTTGTATTATAAATATATATATATATATATAAAGCATAGACATAGACATATACACTATATATATCAAGTACACGTACATATACATACATATATTTATGTATCTGATTTTGGTTTGTGTGCTGGTGCACGTATGGCTTCGTGGGTGGGTATACGTATGTGTGTTAACACACGCCCAAGAATATTCATCTACTTATACACACAGACACATACCCAAGAATATCTATATACTTGTACACACATACACATACCCAAGAATATTCATCTACTTATACACATATCCATTATTATGCATGTTCTTGTATTCACATACACATACCCATGATTATGCATGTTCTTATACACGCACCCAAGAATATCCGTTTACATATACACATAAATATATGTATATGCTTATTCATATATTGTACTTATATATATACATACGTATATACAGACATATATTGTGTATTTAATTCATATACGTATACATAAGTATGTATTAATAGTTGTTGGAATTTATGTTTGTACTTATGTATACATGTTTGTTGATATAGATTCGTGCGTATAAGTGTGCAAATGTATATGATTGTATGTGTGAATAATATCAGTATCGAGTTGTATAAATTACATGTGTTTGCTTTTATTTTTATCTCTCTGTATATGGATTTGTATTTGTGTATATGTGTTTTCTCACATAAGTATTATTATTTGTAATTTTGGTTCTATATAACTATGCACGAGAGGATACATATATATACCCGTGCATATATGTATCTATATAGATGTATTGAAAACTTTTTATATGAACAAAATATAATTTGTGGTGTAAGTCTGTATGAATGTATAATTGATAACAATGTGTATGCATACATAGTATTCAGCAAAAAAAAAAATTTTATATTGTTGATCGGATTTTACATAGATCTACAAATGTACGTTATGGTATTATTCATATACATGTAGCATGTAGTGCTTACTGTGCGTGGATCTACAAATGTACGTTGTGGTTATTATTCATATACATGTAGCATGTAGTGCTTACTGTGCGTGGATCTACAAATGTATGTCATGGGATTGTACATATACTTGTAGCATATTGTGCGTTGTGTGCATGGATCTACGATTGTATGTTATGGGATTGTACATATACTTGTGGCATATAGTGCGTTGTGTGCATGGATCGACGAATGTATGTTATGGTATTATACATATACATGCTGTATGTAATGTTTTGTGTACTTGGATCTACGAATGTATGTTATGGTATTTTACATATACATGTAGCATGTAGTGCTTTCTATTCGTGGATCGACGTGCTATTGAAAAGGCAATCGAGTTTTCTCCTCGTCTGTTTAATGAAACCTATCTATATATCAGTTTACATGTTTTCTGACACATAACTATATATAAATGTGTGTGTACGACCTACATTCATACTTCGCACAAAATTCAACACAGGTCTTCATTGTCAAATGCATTTACCAACGTCGGTATTCAAATATATAATTTTCAAAATCGTACACACATATGTGTATGTATATATGTCACTTCTATGAATTTCAAAGTATGAGTAGTTGTTAAATGTATCGATACATGCATATTCATAGTGGTAGATCGATATAGACATTCATATTCATAGTTGTCTGTGTTTTTACAACATCAAGCATACATACATACACGTATGCATGTACAAAAACATGTATTCAGTTATTGTTCTATTCTGTATCTATACATACCTTTAAACTGTATGTATGTATATGCGTGAAAGTGTAAGTGCATACAAGTACAAGCATAAATTTACGCATTTACATCTGTATATTTTCAGATAGTATTGATTTGTGTATAGTATAATCGTCTGTATAACGACAGGCAAGCCGCATTTTGTCAGAATACATTTCCAAATTTCCGTGCTTCCATCAGATATATAAAACATAAATATTCTTTTGTATGTATATATGTACATGTATATGTATGTATATATATATATATATATATATATATATATATATATATACGTACGTACGTTA